CGTCCCCGGCGGGGAATCACACATATTCCCCGTCCCCGTCCCCGTTCTCCGAAAAATTTTCCCATCCCCGTCTCTGTCGGGGCGGGGATCAAGGATCCCCATCGGGGACGGGGCACATTGCCATCCCTAGATATTAGCCCCGGCGCACTCCAAGGACCACGGAGGTGTTCGGCGGACTCCGTGCGGCCGGCCAATGCTATTCCACTCGTCGGAGAAGAAAGAGATGTCGTCATCACCGTGGCCCCCGTCTTCACCGCGGTCTTGTTAATCCCTCTCTTTGGTCGAGAAGAAAGGAAAAATGGTAAAATGACAAAATATCCTCATTATTTACCTATTAAAATTTCCGGCGAAATTTAAACGATAATTTGGCCGGAGTGACCAAAATTGACAAAAATTACATAATCAAGGTACTAAATTGACACTTTTGAAAGCTAAGTGCTAAAATTAACAAAGCCCCTATAGTTATAGGACCAAAATTGAAATTTTCTCTTCTGGATATTTAGTTCATTCATTCTGGATATTTAGTTCATTAATTTTGGATATATAGTTCAAATTATGCACAACATAATGTTGTTGTCGGGAATCGAAAATGATTTTTTTAAAAAAAGTGAAATGCGTGTTTTCAGTCAAAAAGACGTCGTTTTTGCAACCGTGATGGTGCATTGGTGTACACGGATGCACATCATAATTTGCCATGAACCTTAAACTAATGTGATAAGTTGTCTCGCAAATTATGCTGTACAACCGAATGCACCATGCGCATGGTGCATACGATGTAAAACGACGTCGTTTTGGTTAAAAAAACGCGCGTCCCACTTAAAAAAGAAATCAGGTTCGATTCCCGGCAATAGCATTTTATATATCCATAAATTCATAACTATATATCCATAAATTCATAACTATATATCCACAAATTTATAACTATATATCCACAGTGAATGAATGAAGTAAAAATCCACAATGATTGAACTAAATATCCACAATGAATGAACTAAATATCCAGAAATTCATAACTATATATCCATAAATTCATAACTATATATTCACAGTGAATGAATGAAGTAAATATCTACAATGAATGAACTAAATATCCACAATGAATGAACTAAATATCCATAAATTCATAACTATAGTCTATATATCCAGAAATTCATAACTATATATCCGCAATAATGCTATTGCCGAGAATCGAACCTAATTTTTTTTTTAAGTGGGACGCGCGTTTTTAGTCAAAACGACGTCGTTTTGCATCGTATGCACCATGCGCATGGTGCATTCGGTTGCACAGCATAACTATTGAAGTTGTCTCAGCTGGACCAACAAAGAGGCCCGATATGGCAATAGGCCTGAAGAAAGAGCCCAACATCAGGTATTATGATTACAAACATGTATTACCAACTTCCAAATGACAAATTATATCGTGCACTGCGATGTATAATCGATTATGCACTGTGCATGTAAACGACGTCGTTTTGTTTAATGAAAAGAAACGGTATCTGTTTTCCGCCAGTTTGCACCCTTCCGCAAAAACTAACTCTGTTATTCAATTTCATTTTGTATACACTACAGTTTCAGTTCAACACAACACAACTTGCGGGCGAGGTGTGTGAAGTGGTGGTGTAAATTGGGGGGGAGAAAAGGCAAATATCCCACCACGGGGAAGCCGCGCGGCCCCGGTGGCAATGGCGGGGCTTTATTGCTTATAGGCTTTAATTTGCATAAAGCCACAAGGCTGAAAGAAGCAGTACTGAGAACGTGAAAAGAGGTAATAAGGCTTCCATCTATGTAGTGCTCAAAACTAAACTTTGCACGCAATAGTATTCACCACTGCAGAAGCTATTTAATTTTCGTGAGCTGTTGGAGTGTTTATCCTTGCAGCTGTCTTATATAGATGCTTAATTGCTCTTCCAAAATTCTACATTTTTCTTTTGAGTTATCATTTCCAGATTTAAAAGCACTGAAAACGAGATACACATAATTAAAGAGAGGGAAAATTGTTGGATATTTTGTTGCTGCTCCACAACTAATGTAACAACATTTTACGTAATAATATGAAGATGAAGAACACAAGTGGATCTGCAAGTGGTTTGTACAAGTAGAATTTGGATAAGATGAGGGAACAATGATTTATGGCGTGTCTATAAACACTACCTTAAAAGCTTAATATTTCCGGTGACGGGCCGACAAGCTTTCGACAGGCAACACAGATTTATAATAATGCTCAGACTGAAAAAAGCATGAGAAATGAAGTAGAAGAAAGTGCAAGAAGGTGTTCTCTGTCCCTTTCTCTGTTCAACTGGAAGGACTATTTATAATATAGAGCCCCAACAAATCACATCATACAGACCACACAACCAGCTAATTTTTAGGAAAATTAGATCTTGAATGTGGTCACATTCTCATGAATAGCAGACAAGGAGATGATCAATTCAGACTTGATCCAGAGAAGTAGGGAGCTGAATAAATAAGTGTACATAAAATAAAAATTATGTAAAAAACCCTTTATTATTGAATGGATTTCCAACAAAAATGACAAAAATGTGAAGGCGAAACATGCCATTTTTCAAAATATGACCAAAAAAAAAATTTAGATCAAAATATGAAAAACACATTTGGGAAATGTATTTTATGACTTTATCATATTTCCGGTCAAACTTAAAACGCAAGTCTTCTCGAGAAACACAAATCTAACTTGCGTCGCAAACTGTTTTTTTTTTTTTTTTAATTTTAATTTTGGTATATCTGGCGAAGGAGAAGGCAACCAAATTGGTCCCTTCTCCTTCGCCGGAGAAAACAACGACCAGTTTTGGTCGGCGAAGGTGGTGGCCTTCTCGTTTGCTGGAGAAACCAGCAACCAAAAATGGTGTCGCTGGCTTCTCTGGCGAAGAAGAAGGCAACCAGTGGCCTTCTCCTTCGCCGGAGAAGCCCGCGACAAAAATTGGTGGCTGGTTTCTCCGACGAAGGAGAAGGCAACCCCTTCGCCGGGGAAACCAAATTTAAAATAATAATAATAATAATAAAGTAAGTAGGACCTGAAAAAAGATAAAACGCATTTTTCAAATTTGTTTTTCATATTTTCGTCCACCTTTTTATTTTTGTCATATTTTGAGAAATTGCATGTTTCACCTTCAGATTTCTGTCATTTTATCAAAGATCAGCCGTTATACTGTGGACCGCGGTGCACGTGCACCGCGGTCAAAACGGCGCAGTTTCTTTAAGTAAAGAAACCGTGCGCCGTTACTGTTAACGAAGCGCGCATGTTAATTACCAATTGAAACTACAATGTATCTAAACTGACACTACTGTGTATCTAAACCGACACTGCCTCACGTATTATTTTTATATTATCAAATGAAACTGCAGTTATATCAAAATGATATTGTAGTTGTGGTGATATGAAACTGCAGTGTATATAAAATGAAAATGAATAACATTTCACATATTTGAGTGTATATTATGCAATGAAGCTGTAGTTATATCGAAATGATCATGTAGTTGTGTTTTAATGAAATTATAGTGTATATAAAATAAAATTAAATAACATTTTCACATATTTGAGTGTATAAATATCGAATGAAACTATAGTTATATCGAAATAAAACTGTAGTTGTGTTGAATTGAAACTGCAGCGTATACAAAATAAAACTGAATAACAGAGTTATTTTGCGGAACGACGCAAAACGGATACCGTTTCTTTTCATTAAACAAAACGATGTTGTTTTGAAGCTCGGTGCATAATTGATTATGCACCACGGTGCACGAGATAGTTTGCCTGATAAGATCGTCTTGGCCACTCAATCGTACGGATCGATTGTCAATTGTAAATGTTGGGGAAAGGTACAAATAGGTCATTGAACTATTTGAGGATAGCAATTAGGCCACATAACTTGAATAAGCTCCAAATTCATCCATGAACCCAAGAAAAAAAAAATGTAATTATCATTTTTAGCAGGTTAACAATAAGTTTGAGCTGATTAGGATGCCATGTGTATATTTTATTTTATATATTATTATTATTATTATTATTATTATTATTATTATTATTATATCCTAATAAGTATTTGACAATTGACCAAGAGTCAAAATGAAATAGGAAAACCCGATTTCTTCTCTTCTCTCTTGCTCAAGTGTGTCGCTAACTTTGAACGACTCTGATCTCTCTAGCTCAACTTCGTTGAGATTCATAATTACCTCTGCAGTGACTATACTGTCTGTACTTAGAATTAGTTTGACAAAACTAGAATCACATATTTTTTTTTTTTTTATAAAAAAAAACTTAATTATGCACGCAAACCAGTTTGTCTGCAAAGATTACAAAGATATCTTTATCCATCTGCTAACCCTTCAGAGTTCAGCCTATCATCAGTGGGCAATTTTTATCGTGCACCAGGGCGCGCATTGCATTGTGCATCTTGGTGCAAAATGAGGTCGTTTTGGATTTTTTTTTTTAAATTTCGCTTTCCTGTGTCGGCTGTTAATTTTCTTTTAAAAAAAATCTTATGTTTCAAAAATGTACATAATTGTATACTAAAATGTACATAATTGTATAACAAAATACAATTTTTTTTTTTGAAAAGATAATACACATAAACTCTCTGTTTCGAATGTACATAATTGTATAAAAAAATGTACAAAATTTTATAAAAGATGTACATAATTGTATAAAAAAATACATAATTATATACCATAATGTACATAATCGCATCAAATTCCTAGATAACTTACCAAAATAATGTCGTTTTGGGAGACGCGGGACACACAGTGCCATGTGCCCCTGCTATCGTGCAGGGTATAACGATTGTCATAGGTGCCATTGCCGTCTCCGACTCTACAAAATCCAAGAAGCACCGTACCACGTGTTCACGTATAACTATGCATGCATCTCTGTCATTTTCCCCTGATCTTATATCATATACCAAATGAAATTGTTGTTGCGGGCATATATGATATGCATACAGAAACACAACACAACCAAACCAGTTCAAGAAAGCCTCCTCAAGTGCAAGCAGAAAGCATATGATGGAGGACTCAATGCTTCACATAGCCATGTTTCCATGGCTGGCGTTTGGGCACTTCATCCCTTTCCTCCAACTAGCCAACGATCTTGCAAAAAGAGGCCATAGGATCTCACTCTTACTCCCAACAAATGCTCTGCTTAAACTCAAACATTTGAATCTCTACCCACAACTCATAACCTTCTGTGCTCTTACAATCCCTCAAGTCGAAGGCCTGCCGCCCGGTGCCGAGACAACAGCCGATACAATGAATCTTGATGGTTCACTAGAAGTAGCCTTGGATGGATTGCAGGATGAGGTGAAAGCCATTCTTCTTCAGATGGAAAAGCCCAATCTTGTGTTCTATGACTTTGCTTATTGGATCCCGGAATTAGTGTCGGAGATGGGATGCAAAACTGTGAAATTCACAGTTTTTAGCCCTACCATATCAGCTCTGTCCCTAATCACGTCAAAAAGTAAAGGCAAAGGCAGGGCCGTAACGGCCGCTGATATCATGGAGCCGCCGCCGGGTTTCCCTTCGGATTCCAAGGTTGTGTTGCGAGAGCATGAAGCATATCAAGTGTCACGTTTCCTTAATCTACCCAGAAATAGGATAACTGTGTTTGATCGTGTTGTGGAGGCGCTCAAACGGTGCGATGCAATAGCCTTCAGAGCCTGCAATGAAATGGAAGGACACTACTGCAACTACATAGCTACTGAGTTAGGTAAACCAGTCTACTGCGCGGGACCGCTGTTGCCGGAGCCGCCGAGGGAGGAGCCGTTGGAAGATAAAATCGCGAGGTGGCTGGAGAAGTTTGAGCCAAATTCAGTAATTTTCTGTGCATTTGGAAGTGAAGTGGTGCTTGGGAAGGAACAATTTCACCAACTTCTTTTAGGGCTTGAACTCACCGGCCTACCGTTTCTGGTTGCCGTCAAGCCGCCGGAGAGATCATCGTCTATAGAAGACGCCTTGCCGGAGGGATTTCAAGAGAGAACAAAAGGAAAGGCAATAGTTCATGGAGGTTGGGTGCCGCAATCTATGATTTTAAGGCACAAAGCAGTGGGGTATTTCGTGAACCACGGCGGGTCTGGATCAATGTGGGAGTCGTTGGCGAGCCATTGCCGGATAATTGTGGCACCTCCAAACAGGTCCGACTACGCTTTGAATGCTCGTCTCATGGCGGAGGAACTTGAGGCCGCTGTTGAGGTTCAAACAGATGAAAATGACAAATTTTTCAAGGAAAATCTGTGCAATGCTATCAAATCTGTGATGGGGGAAAATATACAGAAGGTGAATCATAAGAAATGGAGGGATTTACTACTCACTCCTGGCTTCGCAGACAATTACATTGACAGTTTCATTCACAAATTGTATGAGCTCTCAGTACAATAGATGCCAATCCCTGCACCTTGCCTCTTGAACACAAAACTATCAGTTTATTTTAGATTAATCTATCAGTTAAACTATAGTCCAGATAAATTTTATTTTTTTTTTACATTTCTTTGTTATGTGTGTTCGATCGGATGAAATAAATACAATAGTTATTTTTGGTCTTTATTTCTTTCTCCATTTACAATAGCAAAATGAGAGGGACATCAAATTCTTACTAGAAAGGCATTTAATAAGGTAAGATCACTCAGCCTTTAATAATGTGATAAGTTGTCCAAGCTATACCAACAATTGTTATACCATGAAATCCTCACAAGGTATGAAAAACTTCTTTTATTTTATTCAAAAGGTGCTCTAATGCACTACCAACAGGTTTTTTAAGGATTTAGGGCAAACATAAATCAAACCAAATTAGGATTTAGGACAAATTATGATTTAACAAATTAAACATAGGCAGATTAAGAATTTAGGATTTAACAAATTTATGGAAACATGGCTATGTGATGCTTTGAGTCCTCCATGCTATATATGGCTTCGGCTTTCCTTGAACTGGTTTGGTTGTGTTGGGTTTCTGTATGCATATCATATATGCCCGCAACAACAATTTCATTTGGTATATGATAAGATCCTCTTGGCCGCTCAATCGTACGGATTAATTGTCAATTGCAAATCTTTTTAACTGCAAAAATTTGTATTTAATGTGGTCAAGTCAAGATGATTGAGTGTTGCGGACAAAAGATGAAATTATCTTTACCTCAAGGCCTTATGGGGTAATTAGGATAGCTAGTAGTTCATTATTTAAGAGAATTCATTCTTCCAAAAGGCTGAACTCCAACTCTAAAGGCCCCCACACCTCAACTCGACAGAGCATTTGGGAAGAATTATGTAAGAGAATTTATGTTTGTCTGTCTGATGCCCACAAAAACTCCTCACCACATTGAATGTAACTTCTTCGTGTCCTTAATCTATGGCCAACATTTTATTTTATGTCTTACGTTTTAAATAATCATGTTTTTTAACATTGAAAATGTGTTGACTATTTAACATTTTTTCATTTAGTGAACAATTTTAACTTAATAACATTATATATGCTAGATGGTAAAAAATGTGCGGAAAGTAGCGTTATTTGTATTTAATTTAGTTTATCAAAGGTATTACTTCATTTAGTTTTTAAATCTATTATTTTATTTGGATAATTAAAATAAGTACAAATTTATTAGTTATTAAGGACATTATAAGACAAAGTTGACAATCTATAACCAAAGTAGCAAAACTACCTTTAGTCAAAAAAATCATTTTGATAATTTATTTATTTACGTTTTTATTTCTTAACTATTTCATTTTTATAAATAACTCTAGTTTTTAGGTGAAATATGCATACAAAATACAATATGACCATCTGCATCTATGTAATTTCAAATGGCTTTCTAACAACAACATTAATATTTTTTTTTTTGAAATAATTAATTGACCCTACCTCACCAAATGACAAGGTGAATGGTGGACCAACGTAATGCTTTCATTTAATTTTCTAAAAAGATTTGTTAGATTTTTTCTTTTTTAATAGAGTAAATACCCAAAATGGTCCCTCAACTATAGCTAAATTCACAAATTGATCCTCGACTTTTAATTTTAACCAATTAAGTCCTTAACTTTGCAATTTTAACACGATTTGGTCCTTCGAACACTTCTGCATTAACGCCCGCGCCTGCGTCGTCATCGATGATCTCCAGAAGAACCTGCAGCTCTCATCGGAGCACATGGAGGCCTCCAGGATGACGCTGCACCGGTTCAGAAACACGTTGTCGTCTTCACTTTGGTACGAACTCAACTACATTGAATCCAAAGGGAGGATGAAGAAAGGCGACAGGATTTGGCAGATTGCTTTCGGCGGTGGATTCAAATGTAACAGTGCAGTCTGAAAATGCAACCGGAACCTTAAAAAATCGACGATGGACCATGAAATTACATATATATCCTCAAAAAGCAAAGTCAACAAACGGTCAAATAGACGGAGGACCAAATCGTGTTAAAATTACAAAGTTAAAGACTTAATTGGTTAAAATTGAAAATTAAGGATCAATTTGTGAATTTAGATATAGTCAAGGGACCATTTTGGGTATTTACTCTTTTTAATATTACATTACAAGTCACAAGGAATACATATCCCTAAAAGGAGTGGGGACTAGGGAGGGCCTAAGCATCGTTGACAACTAAAATAAACTAATTAGCTATTTCAAATATAAAACTTAGGCATAACCCAAAAAAAATATAAAACTTAGGTAGTGTTAAACGGTCTCATCTATCACTCGCAAGTGTTTAATCAATCTCTTGTTTTAAAATAAGATCTAATTGGACCAATTGATGAGCTGCTCATGCAAGCAGCTTAGCATGATTCTTTATGAGTGAGTAGGAAGAGAGTGATGCAAATTTGTGAGTGATGGGTTTTGGCTGAGTTTTGTGGGATGACAATGGGAAATTTTTTGCGGCCAAGAACATGTTAATGCCTGGGATTTACTTGGTGAAAGAAGGTGAAGTTTTGTGCATTCGGGAGGCTTTGAGTTGGTTGAAGGACACATGTATGGATGCCGTGGATGTGAAAACGGACTGTCATGTTTTTAATGCTATTAGATCGCCATCTTTTATTTCAGCTTTTGGTTTCTTAGTTGATGATGTTAAGAATTTAGCAATGGAGATTGATGATGTTAAATTCTATTAAGCGATCTGCGAATTGCGCCGCCCACTCTGTTGCTAGGGAGATCTTTTATGAGTCAGGTTGCGAGGAGTGGCTAGATACTCCTCCTTCTTTCCTTGTAAACTTTCTTACTCGTGATTCAATGAATTAATCTTTCTTCTTCATAAAAAGTCTACATGAAGTGATGCGGTGATGGTTACATTCAATAATTTAGCTTTTAAGTTATTTAATTTGTGTTACTTGAGAAGTTGCAGATGTCTATTATGCTCCATGCACCAACTAGAGGGGAAGGTTGGGGTAGTTATGTTATTTGGGAGATTTTGTCAAGATTTTGGGGATTTTAGGGGGTTTTGAGGGATTTTGAGGGGATTTTGTTAGTTTTTGATTTTGTTTTTTATTTTTCCTTTTCTTTTTTTCCTTTTCACCAATTTCTCTTTCCTAATCACACCTGCAAAATCTCCTCAAAATCCTACCACTATTGAGGATACCCTAGGATACAATGTATTGACCTTCACCACTCTTATATTAATTTTTTATGAGTGAACTTAATACTCATAAAGTGATGGGCAATAGAAATTGAATTAATAACCATAGAAACGGAGGAAGTAACGGCAGCTTCAGAGACGGTACGTTCCGATGAATTAACATATGAAAACCCTAGCTAACTGATACCAGATGAAAACAGCATAAACTGTATTAGATTCACCGTGATTACAACTATACAAACTGAAAGAATATATACAAGAAGAATCACATAGGACTAGGATAGGAAGTCATAATGTAACTCAAATACATAAAGTCATAATACTAGTCCTAATAGTATGAACTAATTAATTGGTTTGCAACTTTGCAAGTAGTATAAGCTAGCCAATTTATATCATAGATCATGGTCAACATGTTATATATGTACTTATTTTTCAAATATGATTTAGGTACATAATTTGTATTCATATGCACAGAATTTCACAATACAAGACATAGAAATTCATAACATAATAAACACAATTACTAATTTGTTTCAAGTACACACCTCATACTCTTAAGTTACAAATTTTTATAACACAAGACGCAAAAGACATACAAATCCATCAAGGTCCACTGTGAACTGTGAATCCTGGTCTTACAATAAGGATGGTGTAAGCTCAATTAACTTGAAAATAATAATAGTAAAATAATTGGAAGAAACAAACTTTTGAAAACCTCTGCATATTTTGTGTGCATTACATATTTATTTTGCCAAGAGCTCGTACAGATTGTGAATGAAATTGTCTATGTAATTATCTGCGAAGTTAGGATTATGTAGTAAATCCTTCCATTTCTTATGATTCACCTTCTGGATATTTTCCCCCATCACAGATTTGATAGCATTGCACAGATTTTCCTTGAAAAATCTGCCATTTTCATCCCTTTGAACCTCAACAGCGGCCTCAAGTTCCTCCGCCATGAGACGAGCATTCAAAGTGAGGTCATATCTATTTGGAGGTGCCACAATTATCCGGCAATGGCTGGCCAACGACTCCCGCATTGACGCAGATCCGCCGTGGTTCACGAAATACCCGACGGCTTTATGCCTCAAAATCATAGATTGCGGCACCCAACCTCCATGAACTATTGCCTTTCCTTTTATTCTCTCTTCAAATCCCTCCGGCAAGGCGTCTTCTATAGACGATGATCCCTCCGGCGGCTTGATGGCGACCAGAAACGGTAGGCCGGTGAGTTCAAGCCCTAAAACAAGTTCATGAAATTGCTCCTTTTGAAGCGCCAATTCACTCCCAAACGCACAGAAAATCACTGAATTTGGCTCAAACTTGTCCAGCCACCTCGCAATTTCGCCGTCGAACGCCTCTTCCCTCGGCGGCTCCGGCAATAGCGGTCCCGTGCAGTAGACTGGTTTACCTAACTTAGTAGCTATGTAGTTGCAGTATTGTCCTTCCATTTCATTGCAGGTTCTGAAGGCTATTGCATCGCACCGTTTCAGCGCCTCTCCAATACGATCAAACACCTTCATCCTGTTGGTAGGTGCATTAGCGAAACGTGAAACTTGATACGCTTCCTGTTCTCGCAACACAACCTTGGAATCAGAAGGGAAACCCGGCGGCGCCTCCATTAAATCAGCAGCCGTTACGGCCCTGCCTTTGCCTTTGATAGCCCACATGAGTAGGCACAGTGCTGATACGGTAGGACTAACAACTGTGAACCACACAGTTTTGCATCCCATCTCTAATACCAAATCTGGGATCCAATAAGCATGGTCATACAACACAAGATTGGGCTTTTCCATCTGAAGAAGAATGCTTTTCACCTCATCCTGCAACCCATCAAAGGCTAATGTTAGTGAACCATCAAGATTGTTTGTATCAGCTGTGGTATCTGCACCGGGGGGCAGGCCTTGGACTTGAGGGATTGTAAGAGCACAGAAGGTTATGAGTTGTGGGTAGAGATTCATATGTTTGAGTTTAAGCAGAGCATTTGATGGGAGTAAGAGTGAGATCCTGTGGCCTCTTTTTGCAAGATCGTTGGCTAGTTGGAGGTAAGGGATGAAGTGCCCAAACGCAAGCCATGGAAACATGGCTATGTGAAGCTTTGAGTCCTCCATGCTATATATGCTTTATGCTTTCTTGAACTGGTTTGGTTGTGTTGTGTTGTGTTTCTGTATGCATATATGCAACAAGCTAAGAGTTTCATTTGGTATATATATATATGAAAGTAGAGAGGTAGGAGATAAGGGTATCCACAGGGACGGAGCCAGAAATTAGGTTGAGGGGGGCGAAGAAGTAGGTAATCTTTATGCTATGGACCCGTGTCTAGCATGCATGCTGGACACGGGTAACAGTGTGGTTAGGCACTGTTATCTTTTTCTTCTTCTTCTTTTAAAAAAAAAAATTCAGACTATTTCGGTATAGGAGTATATGTTCATAATTGTAAGTTCATAATGTCAGAGATCTATGTTCATAATTTCATAACTGTACATTCATACTTCCGTAACTGTACATTCATAATTCAATAACTGTAACTTCATAATTTTCGAAGCTCTATGTTCACAATTTTAGAGCTCTATGTTCATAATTTTAGAGCTATATGTTCATATTGTAAGTTCATAATATCAGAGCTCTGTGTTCATAATTGCATAACTGTACATTCATAATTCAATAACTGTAAAATCATAATTTTCAAAGCTCGATGTTCTCAATTTTAGAGCTCTATGTTCATAATTTTATCACTATATGTTCATAATTGTAAGTTCATAATGTCAGAGCTTTGTGTTCATAATTTTATAACTTACATTCATAATTCCATAACTATATATTCATAATTCCATATATAACTGTACATTCATAATCCCATAACTGTACATTCATAATGGCACAAACGAATAACACGCTAACAGCGTTAACGGCGAGACAAAATCAAATTTTTTTTAATTGAAATGACGCGTTTTCCCTGAAAACGACATCGTTTTGGACATTGTGGACACGAGTCCACTGCATAATTTGCGAGAAGTAGGGACAAATTCAGAAAAATTTTTCAAAGGCGAAACATTAAAACAAAAGAGATCATTTTTTTAAAAAAAAAAATTACCTAAAAAATATAGTTGTAAATATTGTTGGATATGAGCGAAAAATAAAACACATCAAAACTTTATAAAAATATTCATAACAAAATATAAAACATAATAAATTTGAATTAAAAACACTATAAAAATATGTTGATGCTAAAGGATTCCAACTATGAAACATAATTAAGTTGAAGGGAAAATTGTAAAAAATATCCCTCTATAATATGCCAATTATCAATGTCACTCCTGAATTATTGGCATGTTTGGTTCATGGAATAGGTCAGGAATGGAATAGCATTCCTTGGAATAGACCTATTCCATCGTTTGGTTGGATCATTTTGCCATGGGAATAGCATGCCTAGGAATGAGCTATTACCTTCGCAAGGGGAATAGCCATTCCTAGGGGGGCCTTGGTATTAGCTATTCCCATGCCCTTGGGAATAGCTTTTATATCATAAATACCAAAAATACCCTTTACACATTATATAATATTTATATATATTTAATAAATATCGTGTATTATATAAATTTATATATATTTAATTAATTATATTTTTTATCCATCAATCTATCAAAATATATATATATATATATATATATATATATATATATATATATATAGAAAAACGCTCATATGTGGTCATGTCATTAGGTGTGGTCGTGTGGTCGTATCTGGGTCGTTGAATCAGTTTAATCTAAAGGCAGTGGTAATTCTCAGAATTTTCGCGCGTTTTAGTAAGTGGGGGTGTTATGGTAATTACAGTGACCATTTATAGCGGGCGGGTTCCAGAATACACCAACAGTGTTGACAACATACACTAATAGTGTAATAAAACACACCACAGTGAAACACACCAATGGTGTATTCCCGTGTTATGGTAATTACAATGGCCACGGTCGGGTTTCAGAATACACCAACAGTGTTGACAACATGCACCAATAGTGTAATAAAACACACAACAATGTGATTTTCCCTATTCCGGTGTTTTATGACAAGTTTACCCTTACAGTTCTCTGGGTAGGAGAATGTGCGCGAAAATACTGGAAAAAATCTTGATTAATATGAATCATTAGATCTATCTAATCTAATGGTCTATAATTGACCATATGACCACACCTAACAACATGGCCACATGTGAGCGCTCCTCTATATATATATATATATATATATATATATATATATATATATATATATATATATATATATATATATATATATATATATATATATATATATATATATATATATATATATATACACACACACACACACACATTATGTAGCATTTGCAATCGGCATTTTGTGACAGTTTATATATATATATATATATATATATATATATATATATGTATATATATGTAAAAAAAATAACTGTATAAAACTCCTTAATTATGGAGTCTTGGCTCCTAAATTAAGTAGTCTGCTCATCTGCATGCCTAGCGGATGGGCATTGCAAGCTTGCCTAGCGGATGAGCATTGTAATTGAAATTATGGAGCCTTGAGACTCCTTTTATAGGAGCCTCAAGGCTCCATTCCTTACTTCTCCAACCGATGTGGGATAAGTGAGAAAATAAATATAAAAATAAATATGTATTTGTATAATAATAATAATAATAATAATAATAATAATAATTATTATTATTATTATTATTATTATTGTTATTGTTATTCTCTCTCTCACACACACACATACATATACATGTATATAAATACAAATATAAATATAACTATATAAATATATATATATATATATATATATATATATATATATATATGTAAAACATTCAGTATATCATAATCATATTCATTATTATTATTATTATTATTATTATTATTATTATAAGGGTATTTATTTCTTTAAAACCTATTCTATTTCTATTCCTTTAACCAACCAAACACTGGAATACAATTACTAAAGTCTATTCCTTCAGCCAACCAAACAACAGAATACAATTCATATTCTATTCCTTACCTATTCCATTCCATGTGGAATAGTATTCCTATTCCCTCCAAATTCATTCCGTGAACCAAACGTGCTGTATGAGTGGTGTAAATGTTGCCCCTCAATTATCAAAACGGTGCACATATAGCACCTCCCGTAACGGACATGTGGTTCCCCGTTAGTGTACGACACCGTTAAGTCGAAGTAAATATGTAATTTAGTTGTTTTTTCCCTCCCTCGATTCGAAGTACCAGCGATGGACAGCGGTGGAAAACCACATGTTCGTTACGGAAGGGACTATATGTGCACCATTTGATAATTGATTGGTAACATTTACACCGCTCATAATTCAGGAGTGACATTGATAATTGACATATTATAGAAGGACATTTTTTTACAATTTTCCCCAAAATTAAATTTGTATTTAATGCTACACTTTTTTCTCCTTTGTGTGTCTTTTATTAGTTGCCGACAAAATATGAAATTAATGCTTTCAATTGCCAAAATTTGTATTTAATGCTAGACTTTTCTCTCCTTTGTGTGGCCTTTTAATCTTTTTTTTTTTTTTGAGGAAAACATAATTTCATTAATTCAAATCAATATACAAGTATTTTACTCATCAGTCTCACAAAATCAGGATACGATGATTCAATAGTCCATTAAGTAAGAGATTTAGTGTTTGATGTTCACAAGAACCTCACCACATCGAATGTAACTTGTTCTTGTCCACAATCTACCTACTCTAAAACTAACTGAGCTACCTGTTCAGCGAACATTTTATTTTATGCCTTACCTAAAACTGTTAAATACTCATATTTTTTAACATTGAAAATGTGTTGACTATTCAACGTTTTTTCATTTAGTGAACACTTTTAACTTAGTAAGACTTATGATATATATATATATATATATATATATATATATATATATATATATATATATATATATATATATATATGCTAGATGGTGAAAAATGTGCGGAAAGTAGCATTATTTGTATTTAATTTAGTTTATCAAAGGTATTACTCCATTTAGTTTTTAAATATTTTTTTTATTTGGATAATTAAAATAAGTACAAATTTATTAAGACATTATAAGGAAAAGTTGACAATTAACCAAATTAGCAAAACTACCTTTAGTAAAAAAAATCATTTTGATAATTTATTTCTTTACGTTTTTATTCTTAACTATTTCATTCGTATAAATAACTTTAGTTTTTAGGTGAAATATGCATACAAAATACAATATGACCATCTGCATCTATGTAATTTCAAATGGCTTTCTAACAACAACATTAATATTTAATTTTTTTTTTTGAAAAATTTAATTGACCCTACCTCACCAAATGACAAGGTGAATGGTGGACCAATGTAATGCTTTCATTTTTTAAAAAGATTTGTTAGATTTTTTTTTTAATACATATCCCTAACAGGAGTGGGGAGGGCCTATGCATCATTGACAACTAAAATAAACTAATTACTAGCTATTTCAAATATAAAATTTAGGCAGAAGTATCAAATAGTTTCATCTATCACTCGCAAGTGCTTAATCAATCCCTTGTTTTAAAATAAAATCTAATTGGACAAATTTATTTTAAAAATTGTGTTCGCTTAACATTTTCTCCAGGTTTCCATCAGATAACCCTTCCATAATGCTAACATAGAATTTAAATAAAAATAATTTGATGACTTGTTTCATTGTTGACTCATTCAAACCCAAAGAAAACAACTACTCTTTCCCTCCTCATCCCCACCACCATCATCGTGAATTCGTTATTGCCGATCTGAAAACAAAATCAACAGAAAACATCTATTCTTTCCCTCCTCATCCCCACCACCATCATCGTGAATTCGTGATTGCCGATCTGAAAACAAAATCAACAGCTTCTCTAGACTTTGCACTACAATCTAGGCTCTCCCTTGTGTGCTCGTTAAAGGTTGGAGAATGAGAACTATCGACACTCTGCACATCCAAAATGAACAAAATAGATGCATTCATTGATTGTCTAGTTCAAAGTTTCCTCATAAATTTGATTTTAAACACCTTGTAGATTATAAGACATTTTATAGTTGGTAC